CACATGCACTATCTATCATATCATCACTGTGCACTATCTGCACGATCAGTGGATTAATGCCGATGACCAACCAAAGAGTGGCCGCTTAACTCCGGGTGCGTAGCAACAGAATCGTCCGGAGACCCGCGCTTGTGGTCGCGGCCCGCGACGCCGCGACTGCAGTGGACGAGTTGAGCGTCACTTGCTTTGAATTTTAAAGGGATCATACAAAGCAATTGATGCGATTGTGTCGCATTTTCTCAGGTGTGTGTAGAAATTTTATATTCACGTAGAACATGTTCATTTATTGGGTGTGAGAAATTCGTTCATCAGCTGTTCCCGCTACGAATCAGTTTCAGAATGAAGAATGACGAGCGTGAAATGCCCGTACTGTGGCATCAATGTCTGCTGGCTCTCTGCCAACGATATAAGAACGATTTTAGCCCGGAACAAAAAGCTGCTATCATGGACCTCATCAGGGTTTGTTCAGGTGCTAGTTTAGAACTCTCTGATAGAATTGATTCGCCTGTTTACAGTACCAAAGCCATTACCTAATCTCACCTGAAATCCGTCGTGAATTGGAATCAAAAGCAGTAGATGGCGAACATGGCGAGCATACAGTCACCAAGATTGACATTGTTGCCAGAGCAAATGATACCATGGAATTCTAATAACTGTTGTTTCACTTCACTCTGTTATTGCTGGTTTCATTGATTCGTTTTACTGTTGACTGTTGATTGTTTTGTTTTGTTATCCGTGCTACACATCCTGTAGTGCTTAAAAGTTTATTGCATATTGTGTATGTTCAAAATTATTATGCTCAGCATTAAATAGATGAGTAAACATCCGATATGTCAATGCTTCTCGAGAGTTTCGTCTGGTAGTATCTCTTGAGAACTCGTTGCAGTATTTTGCTTATTTTATCATTTTCAATAGCTTTTGTATCTTTTTGTGTTGCAGCATATCAAAGGAGTGGGTTCAAAAATCTGGCATCTCTCGCAGAAATGCTTGCAAGATGCCAGTCATCGAATCGCTGTGTGTTTTCTCTGTGGCCAACAGTCTCTTCTGTAACCGTTCCTCACATCAGTCAACGAAGATGGTGAGTCCTTCCCTTTGTTAGGTTTTTAGTTACAGTTGAGTGAATGATAACCTTATTCAGGGCCTTATCTAATTCTAATGATTCCGTGCGTGCTGATGGCCCTCGCTCTTTGATACGATCGTTAAGAATCACGAGTGCTTCGGATATTGTCCTTGCTTCTCCAGTCGCCCTGCGGCCATACCTTCAAATAATGCGGATAGACAAGCCTATCGGTACGATATTGGAATTGTGTGGTCTATTCTTTCAAATGGATTGTTGTTCTAAAAGTGCACATGCACGATGAAGACTAACAGTGAGTGTGATACAGATACCTTAGGTGTGAAACACCGAAATGGAAGTTTACGTTGTTTCTGAGGCGAAAATCTAAAGTGAAAAATACGCGACATGTTTCTAAGAGAAATCTGAGATTTAGCCATAATAAATCTTTAGGAACCTGGCTGTTATATTGGCCGTGCACTTGGTCCATCGCTCTAGCTACTCCTGCCGGTCAACTTCCTTCGTTGTACTATCTAACACTTTTTGGTGTTGGCGCAATATTGATGCGCAGTGCTGGCTGCGTAATTAATGATCTGTTTGATAAGGAATTCGACAAGAAAGTTTGTTTTAGAAGTCAATTCAATCAAAGCCTTGTTAGTTAGCTAGTGCATTTTCATTTCAGCATTTTTAATTTTTGGCGTTTTTTTTTCTAGGTTGAACGCACAAAAATGCGACCTCTTGCGTGTGGATCTTTGACGGAGAGGCAGGCAATAGCTCTTTTAGGTGGATGCTATGCACATCTTTAGCTGTTCTCTTGCAGATGAACTGGTTCAGGTATTTATTAGCAGCGTTTATATTTGAGCGTGCCGTTATTTGATGGTTTCAGTGTTGCAGTTGGCTCGGCTTCAATGTTTCTAGTAGTAGGATATCCGCTGGCAAAGCGATACACTTACTGGCCGCAGTTTGTTTTAGGTGAGCACTGTTCGTACAATTTATTAGAATCAGTGCTCTAATTTGTTGCACCTCGTTGGCTCATGACCCCTGACTGAGGAGCAAC